GCGGCCGCGCGGACCGGAGCCTCCAGGGGTCCACCTGATGCCCTGCCTGAACACTAACCTGACACCAAAACTCTGAACTTGGCTGCAAAAATGGACCCTCTCTCATCTGCTGCTGGTTTATGAAGCATCTCCCCTAACCACGGTGTTTGACAAGATCGTGACTCAAATCAGAAAGACTGCTACTGGATTGCATTTATTTGTTAAAAAAGGTATTTTAGGTACCTCTAACTTTGCACAGGAACACGTGGACTCCCAGGAAGGAGAGAACAAAGAGGGGTGATGATGACAGCTCTGAGGTGGCTGTGCTTCACTCCTTGTATTTCCCAGTGTGTGCGGAAAGGCTCTGGACAGGTAGGCACTTGCTACCTGGACAACCGGCAGGAGAAGACAGTGGTTAAGAGCAGGAAGAAACCTTGCCTGTCCTGGCCAGGCTTGTCCACTTCCTGGCCACCTCCATTTTTACACCTGTCAAATGGCAATGAAGGAAATGTACCTGAGTCTGTGCACTCCTGTGGCGACTAACTTCGCTAAGGAACTGTGTGCTGGGCACTCTGTTTACCATTAAATTAAGCACCCATTTACCATTAATATGAACACTGTTTCTCTTCCATCAAACCCCCCCACTCGCCACCTCTTGGCTCGATAATCGTGGTTCCTGACACTACCCGATGCAGCGCAGCACAGGGTTCACACATAGTTGACCAGAGTCTTGGTTCTTCACGATGTCTTGAACAGAAAGATTTCAGGTTGCTCGTTCAAGTTTCAGAAGGAAAATGTCATAAATACAATTTCCACCAATCAGAACGGAGGCTCCACGGCCTTCTCTGGGCCGAGACATGCTAAAGGTGGTGCAGGGGCTGCTTCTACGTACAGTGCGCCTGGCCCGGCAGTCCTCCAGGTTCCAGGACCGTCTGCAGGGGCTGCTTGCCCCTTCTCTCATCAGGCAGTGAGTATGGGGCACCTGTCATGCTCATGGCACTGAAAGAAGAGAGATGAGTCGTGAGGTCTCTTTGGAAGGAGGGTATGACCTAGGAAACCTGGATTTCACCTCAGAGTGAAATGAAATATTCAGATTGAATGAGATAAACCAGAAAGACTGCTAGTTGATTCAATTTATTTACTTAAAAGGGCAGGGAGAAAACTCTGTATGACTCCTTAATGTTGGGTACGTGCCATTATGCATTTGTCCAAACCCACAGAATGTGTACCACCAAGAGTGAGCCCCAGCCCTGGCTGGTGTGGCTCGGTGGATAGAGTGTCGGCCTGCGGACTGAAGGGTCCTAGGTTTGATTCTGGTCAGGGGCACATGCCTGGGTTGTCTCTCTCTGAAATAAAAATATATTTTTAAAAAAAGAGTGAACCCTAATGTACCCTATGGGCTCTGGGTGATTGTGATGAGTCCATGTAGGCTCATCCATTGTAACAAATGCAGCATCTGGAGGAGGATGTTGATAATGGGGGAGTCCATGTATGTGTGGAGGCCCGGGGTACATGGGAAATCTGTGTACCTTTGGGGCAGTATTGCCGCAAACCCAAAAATGCTCTTAAAAATAAAGTCTGTTAAAAAACACACACACACCCCAACACTCTAAAGCACATCTGACCACCCTCAGTGGCTGTACCTCACCAACATGATTCCTACCCACAGGGTCTTAACCTCTGTCCACCAGCCTCTGGCACCCAAAGGTTCAGGAGCACTGCCTCTAACATGTCCTCAAGGCAAAGTGGGGACCCAGGGACAGATGGGTCGTACCTTTTAAGCTTCAATAAAAAGCCCTCATTGTTTAGACCCAAGAACCACCAACTTCAGGAGTAGGAGCCAGGCAGATGAGGTTTCTAGAGCCCATCAAGTTAGGGGGATGCGGGGGCTCAGAGAGGGTGGGCATTTCCCCGCAGGCTACACAGTCTTCGCTGAGAGCTGAACCCAGGGTCTAGGGATCACACTGCCTGGACCCATTCCCACGCTACAATGTCCTTTCTGGTGTCTCAGGAAGTGTCAGCATTCTGCTTTCTTGGCAATGAGGAGAGGAGCAAAGGTGTGAGTGTTATTGAACTTGACATTAATGGAACAAATGAGATTTGGACATCTCAGTAAGTTTTCATTTATTTACTCATTTTTCTGTTTGTTCCTTTATTCATTATTGCAACGCTAAGCAGTAAGAAGGCGGGGCCTCTGTCCCTAAAGAATTCACACTCATGAAAGATGATGCAGTTTTCAAGGCCAAGTGACTTAACATGAAAAAACAGAGAAGAGGACACGGATTAGGTGAGGGCACAGTAGCCGGCTCTCTTTCTAACAGAAGAGCACCATTAAGATCGGCCAAAGCCATGTGACAAGTGCAGCTGTAGAGACTTAAAGGCCAACCCGGGTTGTAAGCAGAAAAACTGGTGCTCAGCAATGCTGAGAGGCGGGGAGCTCTGTGAGGGGCAATGGTGGGACCAGAATGAAGAGTTCCCACATGCCCCGGGGCCCGTTCCCACTATGAGACCACAGTAACAACTACTGAGATCATTTTAATATGAAATTAGTTGGCCCATAGCAAGATATATATAATACATATGTTGTTATCTGAGGCATTCAGAGCCCAAGGTAAAAAAATAAAACAGTATTCCTTCAGAGCCCAAATAATGAACCGCTGCTAGTGTCTTCCAATTAGTGCATGGTTGTCCAAACTCCAGGCCAGGTTTTGCACTTAGCCGCAGGAGGATGCAGCCTGCAGAGTAGAAGATTCCATTCCATCCACCTTAGATGACACTGAATCTTAGAAGACACTGAAGGAGGGAACCTCTTCCAGCCACAGCCCAGTGTGTCTGGCCACTATTTTGTAATGTCTCCCACCTTGCAAAGAAGCACTGATTTTTCTCCCCCAATCGTCATAATTCCACATTAGACCCCAGTGTCTACACTGAAAATCCAGGAGAACCGCCCCTCCCTACTGTCCTGGATACATGGGCTCATCCGATGCACAGAATCAGAGGCTCAGACAGAACCTGTCACTCCAAATCCCCTTTACACAGCAGACCTGCCTTCAAATAAAAATAATCCCACTATATATGTTCAGACGGCATTATGCGTTATTTCCCTGCTGCCTTTTAAATGGGACCCTCTAGACCAGCGGTTCTCAACCTGTGGGCCGCGACCCCTTTGGGGGTCGAACGACCCTTTCACAGGGGTCGCCTAAGACCATTGGAAAACACATATTTAATTACATATTGTTTTTGTGATTAATCACTATGCTTTATGTTCAATTTGTAACAATGAAAATACATCCTGCATATCAGATATTTACATGACGATTCACAACAGTAGCAACATTACAGTTATGAAGTAGCAACGAAAATGATTTTATGGTTGGGGGTCACCACATGAGGAACTTTATTAAAGGGTCGCGGCATTGGGAAGGTTGAGAACCACTGCTCTAGAGTCTAGAGACCATCCAATTTTTCCATGCGATGGAATATATCACCATGTTGGCAAAAAAAAAAGCCTGCAGTTGGTCTCCCTGCCTCATCCACACCAAAGAGCAGGCGGACAGACCTCAGTGCTGCTGGGACCCCATGGTGGAGGGGAGGAAGGACTGCAGAGGGGTCCAGGACAGGGATCAGCCTGTCTCCTCCCGTTCACCACCCTGGCAGCTGGCTTCGCTCTCCCAGTTCCAAGTTTATGAGATCCTTTGGCCACCCTTCCA